AGGGACTACTATTCTTTTTAATGATAGGTCTCTTTGCACTTTAGGAAAATAAGGACGGGGGGGAAAAAAAAATCAATATCTGCAAAGCAGCCTCACAAGCTCAATTTAGTAACTCACACAAGTGAAATGAGCTGGTAGTAATCTTGTGGGGAAAGAAGATGAGAAGTCTGCTAATTAAAAGAATTGCTTCTCCTCCGCCAAATGAGCTCCCAAAGAAAGCGGCAAGAGCACCCAAGACAAATGTTAAGAAACAAATTTATCATTTACTAATTTAAAAAGTATCCAATTACAAAAAAATACTTCACTGCACACCTTAATCCTTCTCTTCGTGACTGTCACATAACGTCCTCACTGAAGTTTGAGGCAGACATTTACTCCTTATCTTTAAATTCGGCCCCCCATCAAAAAACTCCTTCTTGCTCCACTAAATAATAATCCATTTGAAGATGGGGTACAGATAAGGAAGGTTTCATTTTCGAGAGTTCTTTCAATAAGGAAGCAAGTCAGGATGTTATAAAGGCACCACGAGTACACATCCTCTCTTCTAATCTCCCGAAGAGGCCAGGCCATTGTTTTATTTAATACCTCTACCTTACAAATCTTGAACTTTGATATCTAATAACTCTTCACCCTTTAAAAAGAATCATAAAGGACTTGAAAAATTACTTTTTCTTTCTTAAAAAAAAACTTGAAATAACTGTTAAGAAACTATTAGTGGCCATACTCCCATCAAGCTAAAAAACAGAAGGTAGAATTCTTAGGAATTTGGGGGGGGAAAGGGGCATTTTCCACGACTTCACTCTATATTACCTTGTAGATCAGTAGCAAAATAGTTTAAAACAAAGGAGTAGTTGACACAGATGGCTATTAGCTAAATGTAAACATCCTTTGTATAGGTAGCACTGAGAACATCCACAGAAGGCAAACTCTCATCTGTGAGGATCAATGGCTTTAAGATTACCATACCCTGATCATTATTCCAAGACACAGCAAGGGCATCTGGCAAAGAAGTAACACTGGGCATCTTTTTGGTCAGAGAAGCAGGAACTGGATCACCCAGATTATGTGTCTGGAAAAGATGAGAAAGTTTAAAAAAAAAACCAAAACACCACCACAAAGAGTCTTCTCACCCCAAATAAAGTCCTTCACCTCCTCATATCAGAGGAAAATGTAACATCCACTATAACAATTATAGGTTAGGTGGAATAAGTCTGCAGTTTATATAAAAGTGCCTATATACCTTCAAGCCAGGAAGGCAATATTTCTCTTCAGTACCCTTGTCAACTCACTACAACTTTAAAGAACTACAGCTAAATTTGCAACTGTAATTAAAAAAATAATAACTTCTTAGGTTCAACCACTTATCACAGGCAAGGAATTCCTCAAACTCGAAATAAAAGCTTTTTTTCCCCCTAGGGTTTATGAATAAAAGCCCATGGCACATGTGTTAGTTGTCTTTGGGTAGAAACAAATTCATGAAAAGCTCATATAGCCACAAGGAAGTCATCAGATTGCTCCAGCAGAGAGCAAGGAAGAGGGGTATGCATTCCCATAAACAGTGAAAATCCATTCAGGAACAATAAGCTTTTAATAGGACAGGAAGAGAAACCTGGCAGGCTTACAGAATTCAATCACTCAAGACCCAAATTGGGAGTAACATCCACATTCAGGTGCACTGATTCCAGATAACCATCTTAGCCAAAGTTAACTAGTTATCAGTTTGAATTATTTAAAACAAACTGAGGAATGATTCCCATCTAAGTAAGCTTTGGTCTCCTCCAGAAGATGAGCACGACCTTTCACTACACAAAATGGCTGTCTGGGTACAGGGCTGTGATAAATAAACTGAGATCACACAGTATCTCATATACACACATTTCCCTATTTGCACTGACGAGCAGTAAGGATGGTGTTCTTTACTTTGGTAAAGCAATTATTCCTTTCCCTGATTACAGACTTCTAAAATGCTACAACTTGTGGAATGAAATAGAGAAGCCTCCATTTACGACTTAGCTGTCGTCGCACTTCGTTTTCTATGATATATAGAAATGGAGTTTCATTAATCACATACCTTCAGCCTGCTAAGTAACATGATGATCATCACATTTTAAACAGCTTCTTCCCCAACAGACAGGCCCCCAAAAATCAGAAAACAGTGCCTAAAGTTCCCCTACTAGTCTAGACTGACCAATTTAACTAATCCAGATTTACCAGTTACTCCAAACTACAACCATTCTGCCATTCTCTAGCATCACAGAAGTGTTTTAAAGTCCTGAAATTTATCCTCACCACTAATTCATAGTTCATAGTCATTATCTAGTAATAGAGCATGAAGAAGTAAATGCACTACTATCCATTTACTCAATCAGGCTCCTGCCTTTGACACACAAGTTTTTACACTGCCAGCCAAGACTGGAAAAAAATTAAGTTTTCTGACACCTTCCATAATTCAAACTCTGAACCAAACTCTGCTTCAGGGAACTGCTGAGAGAGGAAAAGAGACAGACAGAAACAAACAAAAGGGATACACACACCTTTTCAAGACAGTAAACAGAAGAAGTGATGTGCTTACCACTATTTCCAAACACAACCACATTCATCTTAACCTAACTGCTTACTTTATATTGTCCTCCACCATAGCATTACCAGTCTCTTCATAATCAAACCAACCTAGAAATAATGGCAAAGTGCAATTATTCTATTTGTGCACAGGCTGCAACATTTCATTGACCTGGTTCACCACACAGCCACTCGAGAACAACAAATCAGCCGCTTGTAAGATGTGCTTTCAGGCCATTAGGCAAGAAACACCTGAATTAATGACACTCAAAAGCTACATGAACCTATGACCAGAAGTCATATCATTTTGCAGTACTATAAATTAAAAAAAGAAAATACTATTAAGTCAGGCACTGCAAAATACTGCTAAACATCAAAGTAGGATGTTAGAAAAACACATTTTACCGGGTAAAAGAGCCTAAAGGAACGAGCCGTGCCGGTTTAAAAAGGTATGGAGCATTCTCCCCTTCAGTTCAAGCCAGAACAACTATCTGGATAACCTTCATAATGGTATGAACTACCACAGCATCCATAACCTCCAGAGGCTGGAGGCTATGGAGAGCAGGGGACCTCCCACAGCACCCGAGCTGACCAAACCCCAACCCCACTCACTCCGCCCTCCTGGTTTAGCTACTGAAGGGTGTTCCACTCTCAGCTCTTACCTCTTTCTCAGTTTTCTGAGAGCGATTCTTTCCATTCCACTTACGAGCCTTCTCCAGGTACTTCGCCTTTTCTTCCTCTGTCAGCGACTTGAAGGAAAACGAACTGTTATAAAAAGGTTTCTACCTCTTCCTTCTGCTGGTGGCCCCACAAACCCACGAACTCCGTGTTGTAAAAAAAATTACTCTGACGTTTCCAAAGGACATTATCGACGGGTGCCAAGCCTGACTCAAAACATTCCCGGTAGTTTTTTTTTTCCCTAAGGACACAGTAAGCTGGGATTCCAAACACCCAAGCGAGCACGTGCTTTGGAAGGATCTGCAGGTGAGGGCAGGCCGGCCCTGCCACACCACAAACTAGGGATCCTCTGGAACTACCACAAACTGGGGATCCTCTGGAACTACCA